TCGTCTCTCTCTCTCTCTCTCTCTCTCTCTCTCTCTCTCTCTCTCTTCCCCCCCCTCTCCCTCCCGCATCTGTACGTGCCTTTGCGCTGATGCATAGCAGGTCAGAGAAGGAGAGACGAACACCTATACGCAAACGTTCACGTTCACGTGCACGTCTGTGGTGTACATGTGGTGAGCGTGCAATCGCTCGTATTGTGAGTGTGCGCGCAAAAGATGGCTAGCTTTCGTCCTTTGTGCGAGCATGGGATCCTGTGGGTATGTTCCCATGCAAATACGCAGGGCCGCACGATCCACCGGTTCCTTTGTCCCGCGCGACCGTCAGCCGTCCGGCCACATATTCACTCTATATCGCACCTTCGAAATGAGACTGACGTCTCGAAATACCTGTTGTCTCGCGGCGAGAGTAACTGACACCTAACGCTGCGAGAGAAAGCTTTCATTAAGTTAATGAAACGCGAAGCTCCATTAGCTTTACGATAACTTTTTCGGATTTTTCTTTTTCTTTTTAAATTCACCTCTTCCTCCAGTTTGAGGTGAGACACAGTTTTACGTACCAGATTCATAGCCGCGAAGTAATGCTGAGTAATACAGCTATTTATAAATAAACACGTACCAAGCGAGTTATTTCTTCGACAATAGTAATTGTTATTCTATGCAATTACATAATTTGTACGGTGGTGCGCTTAATAACGTTCTTCTAAACACTCGAAAGTTGGTTTTTTTTTTTTTTTTTTTTTTAATTCATACGTTGCACAACAACGCGAGGTCTCACGTGCGCGTAATGAGTGAATTTCACTGATTAACCGGGTGATATGCGATACGTCGCTTTACGACCGTTTCTTGCACACGAACGATTTCGTTGTCGAGTTTCGTTTGATGCGCTCCCACGAAATTTCGCTTTCCATCTCGCACGTGTGCGCCGTGTACTAATCTGCGAAATTGCGGCACGATCATAGTACACGTACCGTACCTTTCACACCTCGGGAATCAATTCTGACGTGTATCCGACATGATGAAACGTGATTAAAATGTTCGACTCCGGAGTCAAAAGCGTAGGCCCGAGTAATCGAGGAGTCAGAAAGTGAAATTGATATTGCTTTAGATATTACACGGAAATGAAAACTCTTATGAAATTCTTATTATGACTGAGATGTTGAGAAACATCGGTGATGAACAACCGTGAGGTCACATCAGGGGCATTAAATGAATTAAAAAAAATAAAAAAAAAAAAAAAGTACGGTCTCTCGAACGGATCGTAGCGCAATATTTTTTGTGTTGTTACATTTTGTGACGGTTCGAAGAACGATTCATCTCGTTAGAGTGTCGAGCGTTTCTGGATCTGCGCGCCGAGGGGATAGAACTCTTCTCGATCATCAACAGATCGAAGCATTCATTTCCATGCGAATTCTCGAGGGCATCTAATAGAGGCATCGGTCCAAACCCCTCTCAGGATCTGTTGTCAAAAATACGCAGGTCCGCAGCTAAAAATACACCCGCGGGCGAAAGTGTGTACGTAGGAGGAGGGGGGGGGGAGAGGAGAAGGTGGAGATGGAGAGAGGACCCGTATCGAGTAACACACATTGCGCGTCTCAGAAAAATACCTCGGCATTCAAACGTAAAGTGAAGCGGCAATCCGGTTTCCGCGCTCGGTCCCGTCTCCCCTCGCCATCAAATGCAAGAGAGGGGGGAGGGGAGAAGGGGAGGCAGAGGACTTCGTCTGAGAGGACCTTTATGCGCGTTGATCGCAGACGCGGTTGAGGGCCCTTCTACCTCCTCTCCCTTCCCAGCTCTCTCTCTCTCTCTCCTCCCCCCCTTTCTTCTGTTCTGGGCAGATCCGCGCTCTTCTTTCCTTTATACAACTTGCCATCCGACACAAAGCTTCGTTTCTTCGCAATGTACAAGGTCTCCCGTTCATTTCCCCGGACACCCGGTGTTCGTCCCGCCTCGTCCCCTTACCGTTTTACTACCATCCTCGTGTTCATCTCTCTCGTCGCTCTCTGGTAACATGCGCTATCCTCGTTCCGTCAATTCGCTCCTTCCTCGGGGTCCCATCCGCCGTTCGTCCTCCCCCCTCCCTCCTCCTCCCCCCACCACCGTCTCTTACCTTGCCGAGCCGTGTATTCTTTTCGCTCGTGTGATCGTCCTGCGCGGGTATATACCGGGTGAAACGAACGCGCAGCATGGAATTTCCTCTGCTTTCTTTGTTCTTTGTTTGGGCGCGCGATGAATTCGTATTCGGAAAGCGAGATCGATTCAAGGCAATGAATAATTTCAAGGGGATCATAAACGAAATTGATTGATTATTCGAAATTTATTTGATTTGATTTAGATGTAGACTGTATTTATGGATAACATTAAGGAATCTTATGGAACGTACTGTAATGTTGGGTGTATTTCGCTATCTTTATTACACTTTGGTGATTTTCTTCGAATACTGATAGCTATTTTTGTACGTGGTCTGTAAAACAATTTTTTTTTTCACGAAAAGGTTTAATCTTCAAATATTATTATAAAAATAATCTGGAACGATGTGAATTCTTACGAGTTATTCCACGGTAACTGTCATGAATAACGCATCGAACACGCGTAATTCTCACTGGATACAACTATTTTCAAACGATAGAATATTACTTGTTGAAAATAAAATCGAAATTTGGATTATGTAAATACAAACAGGATCCGTATTATGCAAATACAGTCAAGATGTGTGCTATGCAAACTCGTATTATGCAAATGCCCTCGGCGGAACATTTATTTCCACTTTCCTAGGGAGGGGGGGGGGAGCGAGAGTATTCTATGCGAGTTTACGCATTATACAGCTACAACATCCGCGCGATGATTATTTACCGTGCGTTACGACGAATTAAATTGCAACAAGCGTTCGCGCGTGCATTAATACCGCGATTCGCAACCGCTTTCCCGCGCCGGGGGAGTCGAAGGGTGAATAGCGCGTAATCGCCAACGGAATATCACGGACACCCCGTATACACCCTGGCGCGCCTCCTACATCGTTCCCCGACACATCGGCAGCGGCTGCGGCGGCAGGCGGCGACGATACATCGAACTCCGGATGAGCGAGAAGGACGGCGTTAGCGACCGCGCGGGAAGCGCGAGCGAGATCGCGACGGATCGAGCCGCGTCGGCTGTTGCCGGCTGGCAGGCCTGGCCTCCCCCTTCCCACCTCGCCGTGTTCTCCCATCTCATGGAAGCCTACATTCCCCCTCTACCGCCTGGAGCGTCAGTTGCCCCGCGTCCCTCCGCCGAGTCGGAGTCGTTGTGTCGCTCCCCACTCACGTTGGTAACCCCGCGCCGCACCTGGCCCATACGCCGCGCCGCCACACTCGGTAAGCCTGCCCTCCTCCCTCCTCCCCCCTCCCTCTTCACGCGCCATGCCTAACCTTCTCTCCCGTCTCCAACGCGTCTCTCTCCCTCTTGTCTCTCCCGCTCTCGCGCGGCGATGCCCATGATTCGTAGCATAGTTTTTAGCATTGCTGTTTTTCGCTTTTCTTTCTCTCTTTCTTCATCTTTACATATCTTTCCCTTTCTCGTTGCTCTTCGATACGCAATTTTCAGCCGGATCTATCACGCGCGTACACGCGTTTTCGTGATCGCGCAACGCTTCGGAATCTCGAACCGGTGTATTCGACGAATCTCCTTCCTCTCTCTTTTCTCTTTTTCCCTCGCTCTTGCATTGTAGATCGCGTTTTATCTTTGTTTGGCCCCTGAGCGCTCCGCGCACCTACGTCCTCCGTGTCCCCGTGTTTGTTTTCCTTTTTACCATCTCACTTTCTCGCGGTTGTTTATCCTCTCTCTCTCTCTCTCTCTATATATATATATATATATATATATATATATATCTCTTTTACTCCGGTGTTTACCCCCGGCAAAACGGACGATCGGTTTAGTCGTATGAACGGCGTATACAACGTGTGACGCGATCGTACAGTCGGTTCTCGGTAGACCCTCGTGTGGGAGAGAGAGCTGGAGTGAGAGGGGCAAACGGATAGAGAGAGACGGCGGCCGCACGTAGCTTGTAGGGAAAGGTGGAGAGAGGAAGGAGAGCAGTAGCTAGCCGGTGGTGCGTCGTCGTCGAGCGCTTCCTAACCTCCAAAACGGGCTCCTCGCGACAACCGACGCGCGTACATACGTACATACAAAGCAGAAGAAGCGACGCTTGCCACCTCGCGCGCGCAAGTGTGTGTACATGTGTGTGTGCGTGTGTGTGTGCGCGCGCGCCCGTCTTTCCCGTGACGTTGCCTACGATTCATAACGAGCGCGCGATCCTCCGCAGTCGCCGCCGTCGCTGCCATCCTCGTCATCGTCTTAACTTTATAACGTTGTGCTTCTCGCGTGTGTGTTTCCGGTCTCCGCGACGTAACGCGACGTGACGAAGAAAGTCCGCAAGTCCGAGACGGAAAAATCTGCGACTGCGAAAATCACATCGCGAGCTCTCTTTCCTTCGAGATTTATTTGTCGCGTGTGTCGCGGTTTGTGAGTGAAACGAACACGAGGGAACGACGCCACGGCACCGTAGTCACGTAATCCACGGATATTCCATCCGGAATTCGGCTGGACATTCCTTCCATCGCCGCCGCCAACCACCGCCACCACTAGTTGGGAGCCTACCGTGGACACGGTTAGTACATTTTGGCGTACCGACGCCGTATCCTCGGCGGCGATTTGCTTCGCCCGGCGAATTCGGCGGCACGTTGAGCCGAACGTTTCTGCGCGCGCGAAACCGCTGCGCGCGCTCCGAAATCCGCGCGGATCTTCTCCCTCCCCTCGCGGCGCGCGCCCCGCGGAGTCGCGAAGGGCGCATGTCCGCGGTACGCGCGTTGAAACCGGCTGCTGCGATTCTAACCCCCGCTCGTTTCCGCACGTGCTCGCACGAATTTCCATCGATGAGTCAAATCTGTGTCGTCACCGTCTCTCTACCGGAAACGCTCGGAAAAAAGAAATACCACCGGAAACCGCACGGACAATGAAATTCGTGCGAGCACGTGCCAAACTTTTCGTAGCATTTTAGTTGTACTTAACCTTGACCAGTAGTCAGGTGGGAGTTGAGGGTTCAGAGGTATCAGATGTATTATTTCATTCTTGTTACTTATCGAATGTTAAACAAAGATAAAATGGTATCGGATGAACTCGGGTTTTCTGAGTATATTCTTAAACGATCCAGGCTAACAATTATTTGCCCATAATGCATTCTTGTTAAGAATTTTTTCTAATTATTGAAATAAGTTTATGCGATCTGTTAGGCAAAATCTATGAAATAAAATATATTTAAAATAAATAGAAATCGGTGAATTGAATAAGATAGAACATCAATTTGATAGCATATAAACTTTAGACTCGAGAAGTACGCTATCAGGGCTATTGCATTATTTTAACCATGAAAATCGTTGTCTGTTAAAATTTTTTCTAACTATTTTTGTTAATTATTCAAATATAATGAAAAAAATTGAAAATAAAAAATCACGTTTTTTTAAATACTCATCGAATTGGCGGATATGGTAAAGCGATATACGTTCAACGCTATTTGTCCTTGTGTTAATAAAAAATTTTTAATGAAAGCTATGTTTAGATATGATGGAATCTCATAGCGTACATATATATTCTTTACGCATAAATATTTTATTCCTTTCGTGCATGTTACGTGACAATATAAATACCCTGATAACCTTAAACGACGGTTCATTAACGTTCATTAATCTTCACTTTTAACAGAAGTCTACAACTTGTGTCCGTGTATATACTTCTTTTCTCACCTATTTGTCTCGTATCTTTCCGTGTGAAATGCCATTGAATATTTATGTCGCGTCTCCCGGTAAATAATTTTCTGCCGTCTCGTGAGACTTAGTTAGAGGCAGGCAGCCACGGCTGATTCTTTCCACGCACAAGCGTCCGGCATTGTACAAACGTATCTCGCGTAACAATCGTTTACCGGGAAAAACGCCGCCGCTGACGTCGTAGAGTGACGCGTAGGTGACGTCGGAGCGACGCCGACGACGGGCGGCGATCCGACGAGCGTTGGCCAATATCAATCGCGGATCTTCGCGGCTACTCGCGCTCGCGGTAACGAGTCGACGTGGCCGCGAGCAGCGGCGTGGTTTTTGCGAGGCGGTGGGCGTAAAAATCGCTGCCATAAACGGAGTCCGGCTTGGCTGCCGGTGGCGCATAGTTACGCGCGGCTTATCGCGGCGCCGCATTGCGCGGCGCAACGCCGCGTTCCTCGAACCCACGGCGGTCCCGTACGTGCGCCGCCGCATGCATGTGTGTGCACCTGGCCTACGGTACTCCGGCCGTGGCACGCCAGTCGGATCGGTACGCCAGGTTCTTCAGGATCGTGAGAATCGCCGTCGCGCGGGTCCCCGCGCCCGCAGGCAGCCGGCCGCCTCTGCACGCGACTTCGGAGAGAGCCATTCACGAGAGCCGCTCCGCGGAGAGACTCCTCCGGAGAGCCTTTCCGATTTATTCCCGGTGTTTCTCGTGCCGACACGACCCGCACCTCGACGAGTTTCCTAAGAATGCTTTAGCGACGGCCTAATGGCTATCTTGGATGTCCTTTTAAGGAGTCAACTTATATATGCTGAGCGGAGCTAGGTAGTGTTGAGAGATTTTTTAATTTATTTTGACACGCTAAATTGCTTTTAAACATTTTCCTAATGATTCGATGCTGCTTCAAAGATATATGATTTGCTGCAAAATTCAGCACTGTTATACGAGTAAGCTTTGAAATTGCTGCACTTTCACATTTGATATGCGAGGTTGAAATTTATATTTTTTAGGCCTCGTGCCTCGTCAAGCAAGATCCGTCACCGTCGTCAATGATGCTATTGTCAATAGAAACTAGGGCTGCAAACCGGCAATCAGAGTACCTCCTTGCAAACCGAAAGCGAGTCTCGCGAGCAAGCGAATGAGGCAACTTGCCGCGCGTAATTGCTTCCTCGGGAATTAGAAACCACACCTTTTGCGTCGCCGGTCGCCGGTTGCCGGTCGTGGACGTAATAGGAAATCCACTGTAATCGCGATTAGGTATAGTTTCCCCATGGACAAAGATGGTAAAGATTGTCGTCGGAATCGATTGCAGCTTATCTATTAAATTAATGTCATTAATGTCTATTGTTTGTTTCCAAGATTACGAAATTTTTAATCCAGCAGCTCTATATTTTTACATTAAATTCGAATTAAAAATCGAGAAGATTTCTCTCTCTCTCCCCGCTGGTAATCTTTTTATGTCGCGCGTCGAAAGGGTTCACGGTTACTTCGCAATTCACGCCATATCTCGACCTGAAATTCCACGGCCGGTGATATCGGCCGTAATTGTGGCCGTGATCCGAATATCGATGACTAAGACTGTCTCGGATGTATTTTTGCGCCGCGAATGGTAATCGCGGCGACGTTTTCGCGAAACGTTCGAGAGAGCTATTTTCCTCGATGCACTCGCTGACACCTGCGCCGACGCGATGCCGCGATATTGCATCCGAATTACGATTAGATCATTTTCGTCCGTGTCGCGTGAGAAACCGGTTCTCGTCACAGGTTCTCCCTCCTTCGTCGAGTTGCCTCTATCGTCCCGCTGAAACCGAAATCGAAATCGCCGCGGTTCATCATTATGCAAAACGCGTTTTGCAATTCGAGAGGAGTCGAGTTCCTCGTTTAACCTCGAATGCTTTCGACGTATTACCGGCGCGTATTAGGTACGGCTAGGCTTCGCCTTTGCCGCTCGCGCGAATATTTATCTAACGCGAAAATCTGTTTCGTTGTCATTCCGACGAATTTGTGCTGAAATACGAAAGGCGGAACAATTTAATTCGATAAAATTTAACGATCCTATTTTACTTTTATTTTTAAAAATCAAAAAAGCCATCTGACGTTGTTATATTGCGTTCCGTGATCACAAAGAGAATTAATGATTACGATATTTAATAGAAGAATATTAATAATACCAGGGAATATACAGTTTTATCGCTATTGGATAACCGGCGATGAATTTTATCGGTTAGTTATAGAATTATTATTGAATTTCAAAGAAGCGCTGACAGGTTGCGAAAACTCGTTTGCTGATATTTTATAGCTGCACCGCGAGCACTGCGCACGTTAGGTGTCTCATTTTACCTTGATATCGATCCGACGTGTCATCCGTTTAATCTTTTCTTTCTTTTTGTTCTTCTTCTCGTCGTTTAGTGTTAAAGCACTCTGGCCGACGTTTTCAGGACGTATCATACTCGCAATTTATGGGAACCCTATGCCGAGAATGTTGAGCATGCGCCGGAACGATCTTAGGGACCTACGAGGCGACTAAATGCTTCCCATAACCGAGATATTAAAGGATTTATTAAGCGCGGAAGGTCAATTTGGTCTCGTCACTTTTTTTACAAGTTAATAACCTTTTCTTCCGCGAATCGGACGCACTTACCGTTATCTTAATTACGACTGTAATCCTCGATTTCACGTCATAATTACGTTGTAATGTAAATTTGTCTTTATCTTGTTGTTTACTTTCTATACTGATATGGCGTAACAGCTCTTTCGCACGCCAGTAAAGACGCGAGAAGTTTCCTTTAATCACGACGTGTGCTCTAAAATTCGAAACACGCGAGCGATAGGTTTTTCTTTTTCGCAATGACGCGCTTAAAATTTGGCGCTTGTTCATCTTGTTTTACTTTCTTGTTACACGCGAATGTTTACATTTCTCTTTTTCTCTCTTACACATCAGGCGGAGCTTATTTATTAAAATATTCTCGTTACGTCAGCGCGTTTTCGTGATTACCGGATTTATAAAATTCCAGATTATTTTTAAGTGACATTTAAGTGAGACTACCACCCGCATGATGCGCCTAGCTCTTTTGATCATCAAGATCGTTCGACTTCCGCAAAGCAATCCGTCAATTTCTTCCTCTCCGCCGAGCGCGTGGAATATTTCCTTTCGAAGTTTCCTCTCCTCTATTTTCTTTACGTCGGACTTGGAACACTCGTATTTTGGGTTCGCGAGGCGTATCATATTTTTCCGTTCCGACGTTTATGGTCGACGTGTCGCGGCCTCGTCGATTTTTCTTCCCGTGATTCGAGATTTGTAAGCACGAATTATGCCCGAGAACTCCTCCCAGGAGGCACCAGGCGACAACGGGATTCCCTAATAAAAAGATTTGATACGCGTAACACTCGGCACCGAGAA